TTGTGCAACATAGTAAAATAGCTGAATGGCGAAAGAAGGCGCGCCTTTCTCGCAGTCTCTCCCCCCCCCCCCCAATTATGCATTACACTTTTTAAACATCTATTCATTTATTTTTCTATTATAAATGCGGGGTGTTTTTTTTCCTGCACCGCTGCCCAAACTGGCTTCATTCTAACACAGCCTGTCTCAACCTGTGGGTCCCCAGATGTTGTTGAACTACAACTCCCGTCACCCCTAGCTAGCAAGGCCAGAGCTCAGGGATGATGGGAGTTGTAGTCCAACAACATCTGGGGACCCACAGGTTGAGAACCGCTGTTTCGCTCTAGAACAGGGTTGGGTGGCCTTTTGACCTGCAGAACTACAGCTCCCATCAGCCCCAGCAAGTGTGGCCAACAGCTAGGGGTGATGGGAGTTGTAGTTTGGTAGCATTTGTAAACGGCTTTGAGGTCCGTCCCCACCCCCCAATGCAGCGGTGTATAAATCTGGTGAGATAAAACAAACATCTGGAGGGAATTCTGGATGCTAAATACACACTGTTCACGTAAAGCACACACACACACACACACACACACACACACACACCCTCCAAAGAATCATGGGAACTGTAGTTTATCCCTCACAGAGCTATCCTTCCCAGCACAGTCCTCAGGATTCGGGGCGGGGGCGGGGCGAGTGCTTTAAAATTGACACACACAAAAACTGAAGCTCCTCAGATTCCTTTGGGGCTCATCAGGGAAATGTAAAGCGTGCAAAATGTTTATAGCACAGAATGTAGGGGAACGGCTGTGGCTCAGTGGTCAGTGCATCTGCTTTGCATGCAGAAGTTGAGGTTCAAGTTGCAAGTTCGATCCCCAGTATTTCCAGTTAGGCTGGGGAAGTGTCTGAAAACCTTTGGAGAGCTACTGCCAGTCTGTGTAGACAATACTGAGCTAGATGAACCATGGGTCTGACTCAGTATAAGGCTTAGATTAGAATTATTTGCTTACCGTAACGGTAAACATGTGCCCTTTTTTTGATCAGTCTAGTGGTGTGATCAATACGTTCATTAAGTAACTTAAAATTATTTGGAAATGGCAGGTTGCTATTATCTGGCCTACTCCCACTTCAGGTAGGGTGATTTTTTTTAATAAAATCAAATCAAATCCAAAATAATAATCAAAATATTTTTCGCACCAGACTTTTGAAAGCAGAGATAATTGGGAGAGAAACCCAGCCGAGAGATCCAGGCTGGCTGGATCCTGTCAGAAATTAATAAGTCTCCTGTTAGACACAAGTCTCAAGCCTGAGTGCGTCTTCTAAAGTTTCTCACCCACGCACTGCAATTAAGAATGCCACTAATGATGAGTGAGAAATGGATTCCGGGGCCCAGGAAGAAAACAGGATGTTTGTCCTTTCAATTCCTCCTCCTGCAAAAGATCACAGGGCCAAATGCAGAGTTGGAAGGGAAGCAAGGGCAATTTAACTCTTTGCGTCTTCTTTTTGTAGCAAAATGGTTTTGTGGAAGTCAGCACAAGGGCCACATTTCCCCCCATGGGCAACTGTTTGGGGGCCGCATGGCAGGTCTGGCAGGAACCGAGCCACAGGCATAGAATCATAGAGTTGGAAGGGGACCCTGAGGGTCATTTAGTCCAACCCCCTGCAATGCAGGAATCTTTCACCCAAAGTGGAGCTTGCACCCTCAACCTTGAGATTAAGAGACTCATGCTCTATCAATGGAGCTGTCCTTCAGACATGACACCTTTCTGGAGCCAGCTGTATTCCAGCCACACAAAAGCCAGAGGTACACACACACACACACACACACACACACACACACACACACCATCTCTCCATCCTTCATCTAGGCAAGCAAAAGCCATTTTCACAGTTCCAGGAGACACTCCAGAGTCCAGCCAGACAATAGCACCCAGAGGAGGACTGGGGAGGGGTGTGGCTTGTGGGGAGACATGGCTTAGAGTCCCTGGAGGGCTGTGTTAGGCCCCTACATCTGGGATTCGCCAGCTCTGATATAAGTCAAGAGAACAACATCTATAGGAGAAAATATCACAATTAGCAGTCCATTAGACCTCATGCATAAAAGGTAAAGGGACCCCTGACCATTAGGTCCAGTTGTGACCGACTCTGGGGTTGCGGCGCTCATCTCGCTTTATTGGCTGAGGGAGCCGGCGTACAGCTTCTGGGTCATGTGGCCAGCATGACTAAGCCGCTTCTGGCGAACCAGAGCAGCACACGGAAACGCCGTTTACCTTCCCGCTGGAGCGGTACCTATTTATCTACTTGCACTTTGACGTGCTTTCGAACTGCTAGGTTGGCAGGAGCAGGGACCGAGCAATGGGAGCTCACCCCATCATGGGGATTCGAACTGCCAACCTTCTGATCGGCAAGTCCTAGGCTCTGTGGTTTAACCCACAGCGCCACCCACGTTCTTGACCTCATGCATAGACCTCACCTATTAATAATAATACTAATAATCAAAGGAATGCAACATACCACCAAGTTTAAGTCTGTTAATGGTGTACTCGTTGCACTAGACTAGGATAATTGCTTGTGCAAGAGAAGGCAGAAGAAGAGCAAGGCTCTTGTGGGTGGTTACACATCAGATTGCTGTCTCCTAGATATTCCCTGTTGCATAACTGGTTGTGCAACACACTTCCACAGGCTAGGTTTCCCCCTAACGTTTTGCATGGCTGTTGCACTAGCGCAAGGGCAAGAGGAATATTGTTGCAATATGAAATCTAGTGCTATTGCAACACCATTGCCCTTGTGCTAGTGCAACAGCCATACAAAACGTTAGGGGGAAACCAAACCCGGGGACACTGCCCCCAAAGCAGCCTAGTGAGCATTGAGAATTCTTAGCAGACCCAGAACACTGAATATCTGTTGGCAGAAGTCATTGGAAAACTGATTTTTAAGATTGGCTGGATGCACGAGAGTGGTGGGGGTCACCAGCTGAGGAACACACAGGGGAAGGAGGCTCAGAGCCTGGGGAGTGCTGGTGGAACAACTATTAGTGGTCAGAGGGAGAAGAAGGAGCATACGGGGAGGAGGAGATGTCGGAAGTTGAAGAGGCGACAGGGTTTAGTGAGCAGGAAGATGCTGGGAAAGAGAGCAGTCTAGGATCAAAGACAGGAGAGGACGGGGGCCAAGAGACAGAGATGAGGCAGGCTGTTGAAAAAGCCAGGGAGCAAAGAGAGACAAGAAAAAGGAGCCTTAGACTGCTGGGAGGGGAACTGCAACTGCCTCATTGGGGCAAGACCCACAGGGAAGAGTTGCTGTCATCACTGGGCCTGCACTGTTTTGGTTTCTTTGAATTAAAGAGTTAACTTAACTGACACCGGTGTTTGTTTTTTATTGCTGACATACTTCTGACACCTATGTCCGGGTCTAGGATGCTTAGCTGAACAGGGATGGGGAACCTGCCACCCTTCAGATGTTATTGGACTCCAGCTCCCATCAGCCTCAGCCACCATGATCAATGGTCAGGGGATGATGGGAGTTGTAGTCCAACAACATCTGGAGAAGCACAGGTTTTCCCTAAACCCCAGTTTGGGGCTTTAAAGGCCACAACCAGACCTTGAATCAAGCTTGGAAACGAACTGGTAACCAGTGCAGTTTCTAGTACCTTGACTGGTCTGCGGCACATAGTTCCTCATAACTGTTAAAATATAGTTTTTCAAGGGCAGCCCCTCTGGCAACACATTACAGCAGCATCCTCTAACGTGGACCCTGTGAACATCGTCTGAAGGCCTTCTCTGTGAACATCCTCTATGATGGGAGCAGGGAGTTTTTTCAGCCGGAACTCAGTTCCGGCATCTCTCAGGTGTGCGCCATTGCCATTATAAGAGAACAAGGGAGGCATTCGCCATGAGTTCCAGCACCTCTTTTTCTAGAAAAATAGCACTGTATGGAAGGATCCACAGGATGGTAACACAAGGGCCTTTTCAGTGGTGGCCCCCTTCTTGAGGAATGCTCTTTTCAGGGAGCCATGTCTGGGGCCATCATTACTTATCTTTAAGCACCAAGCAAAACTGTTTCTTTTCTGTCATTTGGCTTCTAATCTGGCCTCTTTCTGTCAGGGGTTGGCGGGGTGCCTGAGCCCTGCCTTTTAAAAAATAACATGAAGGCGTTTTTGATTTTTCTGTGTTTTGCTTTCACACCAGCCCTAATCCATGGCTGGGGGCATCCGGCTACCCCTTGCTGGAAGCAGAACACTGGAGCTGGGAGATCAGATCCAGCAGGGCAGTTTCTTAACACTCCGGAGAACGTTGCTTATTATTATTATTTGTTGTTGTTGTTGTCTAGTCGTTTAGTCGTGTCCCACTCTTCATGACCCCATGGACCAGAGCACACCAGGCACTCCTGTCTTCCACTGCCTCCCGCAGTTTGGTCAAACTCATGCTGGTAGCTTCGAGAACACTGTCCAACCATCTCATCCTCTGTCGTCCCCTTCTCCTTGTGCCCTCCATCTTTCCCAACATCAGGGAGTCTTCTCTTCCCATGAGGTGGCCAAAGTATTGGAGCCTCAGCTTCATGATCTGTCCTTCCAGTGAGCACTCAGGGCTGATTTCCTTCAGAATGGAGAGGTTTCATCTTCTTGCAGTCCATGGGACTCTCAAGAGTCTCCTCCAACACCATAATTCAAAAGCATCCATTCTTCGGCGATCAGCCTTCTTGATGGTCCAGCTCTCACTTCCATACATCACTACTGGGAAAACCATGGCTTTAACTATACGGACCTTTGTTGGCAAGGTGATGTCTCTGCTTTTTAAGATGCTGTCTAGGTTTGTCATTGTTTTTCTCCCAAGAAGCAGGCGTATTATTATTATTATTATTATTATTATTATTATTATTATTATTATTATTATTATTATTATTATTATTATTATTATTAAAAGCAAAGGAACAAACGCCCCCCACCCCCAACAACCAACGGAACGGAGCTCCGCCGCTTCCCCTTTCGGCCTCTAGGAGGCGGGCCAGCTTCACACTCTTCCGCCCGGCCACCTGTAGCCGCAGCCGAGGCAGCCGAGGAGCGCCTGGCATTTAACAAGGCGAGCGAAGGCAGCCAGCAAGACAGGCGGGCGCTCTCGCCTGCTGAACTCAGCGGAGAAGGAGATCGCCACCTGGCCGGACCGGTTCCCCAGCCTGCCTGCCTCTCTCTCCCGTCTTGCCTGGCTGGCTGGCTTCTGGAGGAGGCGGAGGAGGCGGAGGCGGCTTTCCTGCTGACTGGAAAAAAGCCCCTTCGCCTTGCAATCCGGGAGGGATCAAAGACAGGCGCGGCTGCTGCGGCTGGACGGCCGTCGAGGATCGGCGCTCCATGCAGCCCGCGGACCGTCGGTGAGCGCTGCTGCAGCGGCCGCCGCCAGCGCGCCTCCGCCGGCCTCGGCATGGCCAAGAACACATCGCTGCACTTCCGCGTGGTGGAGGGAAGGGACCTGCCGGCCAAGGACGTGTGAGTGCCGGCCCGCGCCATCGAGACCCCCTCTTTTCCCCGCCAAACCCCTCCGGACGGCGCCCCCCCCCCCCGCCGTCCGAAGCCGAGCTCCTCTCCACTGCGCGGACCCGACTAGACGGCGCCTCCTTTTGTTTCCCCCCACAGTGGGGTTTTTTTTGCCGTCGTCTGGCTCTTCTCCCTCCCCGCCCAACCTCGACGGTCCTAGAGGGCGGCAGGGCGAGCAAGCGCCTCTTTTGGACCTGCACTGCAGGGGGGTGGACTAGAGGATCCTCGGGGATCCCTTTTATGATTCCATGACCGGTTGTTGGAGGGCACTGGTTGTCTTGGAGGGCCGGGCTGTCTTGCCCCCCGACGGCAGCACTGCCGGGGCAAACTCCCGTTCATTTTTCGGGCGGGGTGAAGGTGTTGGCAAGCTCACTTCAGTGGGCCGCTTCCTCCTGGCCATCGCCCCCCCCCCGTCGTCCCCCCCCCGTCTGTGGTCCCCGATTCCCACGACTCCAGAAGGCTGAGTAGGTGGTGGCCGGGAGTGGGGAGTTCCTTCTGTTCTTGCTCACTGCGTGGGCGCGGGGAGGCAGGTGGCGACCGCTCGGGAGCGTAAGACGAGCCCCGCTGCTGGGTCACAGCGAAGGTCTCTCTCCTGTATCTCCTCGAGGGGAGGGAGCGGAGGGACTCCGGGGGATCCAGCAGGCGAGATGCGAGCCACGGACCCTCTCCAGCCTCCTGTCCCTCAGAAAACCGAGGAACGTCATAGATTCGTAAAGTTGGAAGGGACCCTCGGTCCTTGAAATGCAATAATATAATGCAGGTGCCCCCGACGGGGATCGAACCTGCAACTTTGGCATCATCAGCACCACGCAGCTGAGCTGTCCTGTTGGTGGCTTTCGCCCATCCTGCTGATACTGACAGAGTGCCTACTGCTCTGCGTGCAGAAGGCTCCAAGTTCAATTCAAGGTATCTCCAGGCTAGGGCTGGGAGGGAGTCCCTGCCTGAAACTGTGGAGAGTCGCTGCCAGTCCGTGTAGGCAGTGCTGAGCTAGATGGATCAAGGGTCTCATTCAGGAAAAGGCAGCTTTCTGCGTTCCTGTGTCTTAAGGGAAGTGCCTTAGCTCAGGGGTGGAACATCTGCTTGGCTTGCAGAAGATCCCAATGGCATCTCCACAAAGTGTCCCCTGCCTGAAACGGCTGCCAGTCAGTGTAGTACCGATTTAGATGGACCGATGGATTCGATTCTGTATATAAGGTATATATTAAGGAGGTTGCTTTGAGTTTGGGTGTGATTTTAATTTATTTATTTTAAAATAATGTTTAAAATAGTTGTTTTAAACTATTTTTTAATGCCGATAATCTTTTTCATATTCTTTATTCAGAAATAAAAAGTAGAAACTTACAAGGGCACAGAGTAAGACACAAAAAAGAAGAAACAAGAAATAGTACCCAAACAAAACAGAAAAAAGATATTGTGTACATTACAAAAAAAGGGAGTTGTAGTTAACCAGACCTTAATCTAATATGGTATTTATAAAAATGAATTCCAAATATTGTTAAATTTGTCCGTGGCAAGTCTACGTTTGTACACAACTTGTTTATGTGTAGAGAGTTTGTACTTATCTTTAATCCATTGAAGATGGATTTTTATTTTTCCAGTTCATCAATATCAGTCTTTTTGCCATAGTAAGAGTCCATTCAAATTGTCCCTTTGTTAGATTCCACGTCTTGGGTATATAATTCAATAGGATGTTTTCCTCTGCAAATTTGCGATTGTTCCGTACAATCATACTGTACGGTCATACTGATAATCTTACTGTTTTTTTTCTTCCCCTAAACTGCTTCATTACTCTCAGACGGTATATAAATCTTGCAAAATAAGTTAATACATTTCCAAAAGTGCAGAAACAATAACAATAATGCGTAACTGGAGGGATTTAGTTTATTATTAAAGTAGATAGTTTCCACCCCACCCCCAAAACAAACCATATTCAAACGCAACATTCCTCCATGTCAACTCTACCATTAGAAGTTAGATGGGTGACTACGGGAAGCTTAATTTTTTTGCTTACGATGTTTATAAGCTTTAACAAAAGTTACTGGGACAAGCAACACTAGTTAAGGACTGCAATATGGCAAGAGGAAGATGTTGGCATTCAGTGGTATCTGCCTTGCATGCTGAACGTCCCAAATTCAATTCCTGGCACCTCTGGGTAGCACTGGGAGAAAACCCTGTTCAGAAATCAGAAGAGACGCTTCCAGTCAGTGCAGACAGCATTGAACTAGATGGACCAGAGATTTGGATCAGTACAAGGAAGCCTCCTGTGGCAGGGAAGGTGGCATACCTGAGTGGTTAAAGCATCTGCTTTGCATGCAGAAGGTCCCAGGTTCAATCCCCAATCTCCCAGGTAGGGCTGGGAGAGAGTTCCTGCCTGAAACTTTGGAGCGCTGCTGCCAGTCAGTGTAGGTAACGCTGAGCTAAATGGACCAGAGCTCTTCCTCAGCATAAGGCAGTTTTCTGTGTTCCTATGTCTCTAGGGAAGAGCCACAGCCTACCCTGGCGTCTCCAGGTAAGGCTGGGACAGACTCCTTATCTGAAACCCTGGAAAGCTACTGCCAGTCAGTGCTGACAACTCTGGGCTAGATGGACCAAAGGTTGGATGTCATACAAGGCAACTGATAGAACTTATGAATTTGTCTAATCACCTTTGGAAGCCATCCCAGGTTGGCAGCTGTCACTACGGCCACCTCCAATTGGAGTCCAATTGGAGCAGCTTTGGCAGCTTCCCAGCAATCCTGCATTGCAGGGGGTTGGACTAGATGACCCTTGGGGAACCCTTCCAACACTCTACAAGTCTATGCTTCTATGCCGGCTTCAGCACAGATTCAAACACTGCTTGGCAGGTTCCCTGTTGCCACCAAAGGTTCGTTACCGAAGCGTCAATCCTGTGTCTGTTTACCATGCCCTGTTGAACACATGGAGACCAACACTTGAGTAAATATTGTTGTTGTTGTTGTTGTTGTTGTTAATTGAGTTTGTATACTCCCCTATACCCGGAGGTCTCAGGGCGGTTCACAAAAAAGATCACAACATAAAGGTGTGTAATGAAGACACCAGGCAAACTTCCTTGGGGAGAGCATTCCACAGACGGGGAGCCACTGCAGAGAAGGCCCCGTTCTTGTGTTGCCGCCCTTCAGACCTCTCGAGGAGGAGGCACACGAAGATGATCTCAGGGTCCCGGTAGGTTCATATGGAAAGAGGCGGTCCTTGAGATATTGCGGTCCTGAGCTGTTTAAGGCTTTGTAGGTCAAAACCAGCACTTTGAATTGGGCCTGGAAACTAATTGGTAGCCAGTGCAGTCGGACCAGGATCGGTGTAATATGCTCAAACTGTCTTGCTCTGGTGAGCAACCTGGCTGCTGAATTCTGCACTAGCTGAATTCTGCACCAAAGCGTCTTCAGAGGCAGCCCTACATATAACGCATTGCAGTAATCCAACCTTGAAGTTACCAGAGCATAGACAACAGTAGTTAGTCTATCCCTTCCCAGAGGCATGTTATGTGTCTACTAAGAAGTAAGTCCCATGGACATCAGTGGGACTTATTCCCAAGTAAGTGCGTACAGGGTTGCAGGCTTAGCTTTCTTTGCCTCCATGATATAGGACCATAGGAAGCTGTTTTATACTGAATTGGACTGTCGGTCCATCTACTTCAGTGTTGTCTGCACTGACTGGCAGCTGCTTTCCAGGGTTGCAGGCAGGGCTCTCTACCTGGAGACAGCAAGGACAGAACCTGGTGCCTTCTGCTTGCAAAGCAAAGAGGCTTCTCAGCAGCTGTTAATCAAGATAACAGAACCTCCACATTCAGGGAAAGTGTACCTCTGAGTTTTTATCTCTTTATCAAATGCATCTCGAACCCATCTTTCAGGGCACGAATGTGGGTTTTGATGTAACTCTAAGGCACACCATGGCTTAGTTTTGGGTACAATAGCAAGCGGGAGGAGTGTTTGCTCATTTGTGTGAAACTATGGTTGGGACGCGGGTGGCGCTGTGGGTTAAACCACAGAGCCTAGGACTTGCCGATCAGGTCGGCGGTTCGAATCCCCGCGATGGGGTAAGCTCCCATTGCTCGGTCCCTGCTCCTGCCAACCTAGCAGTTTGAAAGCACGCCAGTGCAAGTAGATAAATAGGTACCGCTCTGGCGGGAAGGTAAACGGCGTTTCCATGCACTGCTCTGATTCGCCAGAAGTGGCTTAGTCATGCTGGCCACATGACCTGGAAGCTGTACGCCGGCTCCCTCGGCCAGTAAAGCGAGATGAGTGCCGCAACCCCAGAGTTGGCCACGACTGGATCTAATGGTCAGGGGTCCCTTTACCTTTACCTATGGTTTGGCTTTGCTTTATGTACAAACCGTTAGTAGTTTGTTGAGAACAATGGGAATTGTAGCCCTGGTGGAAGTGGGGCAGTAAATGGATTGGGACCAGGAAACTTGGGGGAGCACCTTACCCCATATGCATCCACTCGACGGTTTGCAAAACTGGCACAGTTCCAGATGCCACACAATACTCATTGATTGATCTCTGAGTGTGGCAGCGGCTATACTTTGGAACTCCCTGCCTCTTGAAATCAATCAGGTGTCTTTGCTGCTCCTTTTTTCAGAGCCCTCTTAAAACCTTTTCGTTTAGGCAAAGCCTATCCAGACATACAGATTTTGACATGTCAACAACTGTTCATTTTAATTCTCTTTAAATGTTTTCAACTGGGTTTTTTTTTTATTGATAATTTTAATATTTCTCATAAAACCCTTAGAGGTTTTACCATAGTCAAGTGGTGTATATAAAAATCTTTTTTAAAATAAATAAGATTTGCAAATACAATAAACGAAACATCAAACTAAAATACATCACATGACTGCTTTTAATGACGTGTTTAAAAATTAAAATAATACAAATAAACTACAGTTCCCAGGATTTTGGAGGGAAAGCCACGTGCTTTAAATGTGTGTTCCGAATGTG